GGGGGGGTTATTGGTGAGTCGTATTTTTCATGCACTTTGTATTTGCAGTGTATCTTATTTTGAAGGCACGTTTTAAACGTTACCATAGCAACCAGAGAGCATTGATCGGAAAATCAGTTAGAGGAGGAGACTGCACCACAAACTTGAGCAAGACCGGTCTTGTTCGGTCGTCTGCTTGCCAGACAGTAAACGGACAGTTTTGTGCGCTTTATGTTGTGGGTTTATGTTGGTTTATTTTGATGAAGAATGCGTTACTACATTTGCGGCAGGCAGAAAACCTTTTATCATTTTCCTTTATAGTTTTTATTGCTGTCTGTGAAGGATTTGCTCTGAAAACATCCCACTCAGTCTGAATTGTGCCACATCTTTCCTTCGGCTGTCTTTCGTCTCCGGGGCCCCTGAATTTGATCAATGGAAGCCCGGAGAGGGAGAACTTGGAGGAGGCCCATGGGTGGCGGTGGCAGGCTGCCCGCAGGCATGGCAGCGACACTTGGGAGGGACGGAACCAAAGTCCCCAAAACACTATGCTGAGACCGAAAAGTGAGTTAAGGCTGAGGGACTTTGGACGGAAAATCTGTTGAGAGCTGATGTCGAGAGGTAGCTTGAGTCGAAGCCAGAAACCCCGACAAGACACTGTACTATCAAATCTGGTTTCTTTGATTCTTTGGTCGAAAACAGGAAAGCCTCAGCCGCACGTGAGTATGAATCTTTAACAGGCTGATTAAGGGGATCTTGTTGACTCTAAGCCAACGCAAAGGCAGTCTTAGTCTTCAGCCTTTCGTCACCTCCCCCCTGAGAAAATTGGTCCGGTTTGTAAGTGGGGGGCTGACACTGCCAACCGGCATCAGTCCGCCGATGCCAATGTCAACAAAGCTCGCTCCTCTTCCCCTCCTTCATCATCACCGGCAGAGGGACCAGCTAACACTCGTATGCGCTAACACTCCTCTGCGCAAACACTCGTCTGTGCTGACTGTCGGCAGAATATGAGGGTGATAAACAACAAAGGCAAGTCGGGTTTTTGAGAACAAGCTCATTTGGATTCCAACCTGGTGTCTCTTCGGTTGTTTGTCAGCGGGCTTCTCAGCTGTTACGTTGCATTAAAAGACTCTGAATGGCCATGGTCAGGCCCCATCAGGCAGTTCTGTGTCCTCGTCATTAGATCACGATGCATAAAGTGGTACCTCTACTTACGAACGTGTCTTCATATGAAATTTTCAAGTTATGAAACGCCTCAACAGGAAAGTATAGCCTCTCATTACGAAAGACATTTCAAGATGCGAAAGGTAAAAATTCAGTATGGGCTGCTAGACGCAGCTCCGAGTTTCCTGAACGCAGCCTACTGACGGCTGCTCTGCCATTGGCTATTAGCGATCATCATCCAGGCATCCCATTGGCTAAGAGGGACCTCTCCCGTATGTGTCTGTGTGTAGATAGCGAGATATGTGTCGATGCAGCGTCCTCATCATTCGCCCCGTGGGCCATGAGGCGTTCCGATAGTTTTACGTAAATGTGAATCACCCAGAAAAAGTGTTCACCAGTAGGGCGATTGATTGCTCACTATGCTGATGTTTGCCTTGGACATTTTCGAAGGATTGTTAAAAGCTGACAAAAGCAAACGTCCTTGGATCAGTTCTTGACAAAACGGCAGGCAAAAACCACTTCTGAGAGAGTACAGGAATTAAAGAGGGCAAAAAACGATTTGGACGCAGTTAAAAGTTAAATGACCATCATTTTTATTCTTAATTCTTTTGTTTTTTACAGTATGCACAAATGTCTTTTATTGTGCAATAATCTAAGTGTAACATGTATTTGTTCCATATATTGATGCATTTTTATGCTTTAGAAAACATTTATGTCTGAATTTTGGGTTGGCTTGGAACGGATTAGGGCATTTACATGGAAAACGCGTCTCTACTTCCAAAATCTTCTAGTTAAGAAATTTCTTCCAGAACCAATTATGTATAAATAGAGGTACCACAGTATTTGCAAAAAGAATAGTCCACCTGGCAGCACACAGTGGGGGGAGCAGCGATGACAGATACGCCATGACCCCCTAGGAAAGTTGCTGGACCCATTGAGTGCGTTCCGCTCGACTTAACCACACACTGCAGCGTGGACATGTTTGGCAGGCTGGAGAGCTAAGAGGCTTCACGCTGCTGATGGATAAGCCCCCCGACCCCTCCCCTCTCCCGTGCCGAAAAAGATGCAGTTCATACACTGTCTCATCAATCAATCAATACCTGTTGGACAAGAACAAGCTTGTCCGCACGGCGGGGAACAGGCACGTTCGGAGTCTCTGGAAGACCAGTCGAATCGATTTCTATTAGAGGGACAATGTAAAAGTGATCGATCGGATAAAAGCAAGTCTTGATTTTGCCACCAGACTGTGAAATGATGTCCCCCAACAGGAGTAAACATATGTTTGCTGTCCAGTGGTTCCAGTTTGTTTTTCTGGAGCAGTTTACAACTACACACCATAACCGTTATTAGACATGCAGTGCGGTGGACTAGTGGTTAGCCCATCTTTGAGTCTTGTATTTTTATTTCCGATCCGGTCTTCCTGTGCAGAGTTCACTTACCGTCCCCGTGGTCATGTTGATTTTCCCTGGGACCTGTTACGTTTCAAATAGAGTTCCTGATGACTCTGGATCAGGTGTGCCCAATACGTCAACCGCGATCGACCGGTAGCTCGCGGACTGGTCTCAAGTCAATCGCGAGAGGTGCAGAGGGGGAAAATAAACCCCACCCAAAACATTTGTGTCTTTGTGCGTGTTATTAATATGATATATTTTTGTGTTAGTGCACACTGCACCCGAAGCATCCTATCAGTTTCACTTTCACAAAACGTATTTATAAAATAAAATTAAAAAGCAGGTCACCTTTAATCTACGCTGGCACATGAACTGCATCACCGGAACTTGCTAGCGGTCATCAGTCTGCAAGTGTGGCATGCAATCAGAGCTGCTGCGCTATATCTTTTATTGTTATTTGTTTTCTCGTTCAGAGTTTGTTTTATGTATAGTTCACCGTGGGCACTGGCAAAGAATTGGAATCTGGAGTGACGGGAGAAGCATTTATAAACGGTACACATGAGCTACGATCGTGAACATGCTGCAAAAAGTCGGCAAGGTCGGCAGTGACTTTATCTTTCCGTTTCATTCCTCATGGAATGCGTGTGTAAGTGCGTGCGTAAGCTAAGTTTGAAAGCAAACAAGAAGCTGTAGCGTCCATTGACGAAAAAAAAGAGATTGGCTCACATCTCCTGTCCCATGTAAATCCGCTTCAATTCCAAGGGGCGACTCCCAGTTCCACATACGCATCTGCGCTCTGCGCTGACGCTCCTTTCTTCTCATTGTCGGCTCCACAAACCATAAGAACAAATTGTAAATATATATAAATCTAGCTCCCCTTTGCTAGCCACCACCCGAGATGTACATTTCACATTTTCAAATGTTCCAATTTATGAAACAATCTTACACTTCAAGCTTTCAGTATGAAATTTCCACAAAGACAAAATGTTCATCTTCCTTTAGTAACAAATAACTCACATAAGGCATAGTTGAATGACAAATTCAAGGAAATTTGAGTTTTATCGTGAATCCTTTTCTCACGACTGGACGCTCATTATCCGCAGCAGTTGGTTCACCAAGACAAAATAGCGGCAATCCGATGATTGATGTTGAGTATCCGCGAGGGTCATAGTGCAGGCTTTTGTACTGTATCTCCACAAGACACATCCTCCAGACCATTTCCAATTTTCAGCTCTGTTGAGCAAAGCTCGAGGCAGACTGTGGGAAGGTTGAATGCACAGACGTGCGGCCGTGTGTGTGTGTGTGTGTGTGTGTGTGTGTGTGTGTGTGTGTGTGTGTGTGTGTGTGTGTGTGTGTTTGTGTGTTTGTGTGCTTTGATTTAAGTCTGACTGAGCTACAACCATCCCTGTCCTGTCCTAATGCCATTTTATAGCTCTGTTAGCCTGTGACCTTGGAGAACAGAGTAATATCGCCACCGGTTTGTGGAGCCCAAAAAGGAATAATCTTTTATAGAACAAGCCCAGTGTCCAATGATGCATTGCTCTGGCACCGAATCGTATGGCTCAGAGTCGAAAAATGGAGCTGAGCCAACAGTAACGCTTTCACGGTCCTGCAGTCAATCACTCAATCTTTTGAAATAAGAGAAAGACGATGTGCCTGACTCGAATCCGAAATTCATAAAAGCACCCAGGACACCAATACCTCCTCCTTTTTGCCCTTTTGTTTGGTGTCTATCCCGCAAACATTTTCAGCTTGCCGCACTGACCAAGTGGCTAACCACCAATTACACGAAGAACGCCACAGTGGTGACAGCGGGCTCCTTGTCTGGGCCGCCAAAGGCCCGTGTTGCGGGTTTCTCTCACCCACGTGCCTGTTGCACTTTGTATCCAGCATACTGGCTTGTTTCAGCGAACTGCTTGATATTGTCATAAATCATGAAGCTGACAAAAAAAAAAAAAAAATCCTATGTGATTTATTATAAAACTTCACGACTGGAATAAATTTGTCGAGCAAGAACGCAGATTTTTTTTTTTCCTGGTCACGATTTGAGGTCACAAGAATATTTCCATTTTACCCCATTCATGTTTTTCCTTCTACAATGCCCTAATATGCAGCCAAAGCCATGTCTAATCTGAAAGTAGTAATATCAGTCAAAAACGTGATGCGTCCCGACTATTTTAAAACCTTTGCATGTTGGGGAGGAGCTCAGTTTAGCCCGGGTTGTAAGCATAAGTTATGGAGAGTTTGATCTGCGTTGTTCTTTGAACACAAATCATCTGTAAGCCATTCATTAATGGTTCTGTTGGAAAATACATGACATTGAAATGACGTCAAATTGTTTTGGGGTTCGTAATTTGTGGTATATTTCCAATTTACAGAGTTTACAGGTTAATGATAGAGTATGAAGCCGTAATGCGGCATCCCCATTATTTCGAAATGAGGCGCTTCTTTTGCTAAACCCTCTTTAACCGTCATGACTCAAGCCAGAGTCATAATTAGAAATCAGTGGACCGCAGTTTTATAGCAGTGCTGCTCCCCAAATGTATGCGCCAATACCCATTTAAATTGTTGCCCATTAAGCTATAAAAAAACGAAAAAAGGCTGCAGTAGTTTAACGTGAGCCCCTTTTGTTCAGTCACATTGTAGATTCTACTATTTTACCGATAAATCTGATACACTGTGTCAAGTGTTCGTCTTTGCAGCAGGGCATATTTGAGCAAGATACTTTGAAGGCATTCTTTTTGAAATTGGATGTGCCCTAGGAAGTGTAATTAACATTTTCCAAGCCAATAAATGTTCCTCTATTTCCTTGCACATTTTCTCCGATGCGGTTGATGTTATGCCAGAGGGAGCACGGCGCTATTTCATCAAAAGGTCAGATTATTATGTTGTTTATGATCCCGACTGCATCAGGTGTTACTGTCAGGTTCTGAAATGAACCGAGTCTTGTTTTGGATTCCAGAAATGCAGGCTCAGACAAAGCGCGATAACAAAAATATTTGTTACAGAAAAGCACACCGACAGATTACAAACTGAAATCGCTGCTCACAAGGAGCCAGGAAAAAAAAAACAATGCACAAGAGGTACAAAGGTACAAGAAAACACCGAGAATATATAAAGGAAATACTACAGTACCTCTACTTACGAAATTAATTGGTTCTGGA